CAGTCCTTTACCCATTGACTGGAAACCACCAGATTTCTTTTTCTTTTTATTTTGTTGTGAAACCAGCCTTCTTGTTTCAGTGGTTTCCATTGCATCATCATCAGATTTTCCATGATCTTCTTCTTCATTAGCAAAGTCTTTAACCTAATGTGTCAAATAGGTTTAAAAATAGAATCAACAAAATTTTCTTTACCTTGGCCAAGCATGCTAAGCATACAGTGGCATATTAGATTTAGATTTCATTCACTATGAAAATCCCTATAGGTGTGTTAAAACTTCTGCTCAATACTATGCCTTTGGAGTGCACTTTTTTGAACCACATGACAAGTTTTTAAGTAAAATGATTGGCTGAATGATCACATAGTACACAAAAAAGGTGATTAAGATGAACAGAAATTATGATGGATAAATTAGCAAGTCTCTATAGTGAATTTTATAGTATTCATGTACATCTATTGAAAACATTTTGTSAGATTACAAATTTTAAGTCAAAGAAAGGCAGAATGGAAAGACAAATACACTTGATTCAGCTAATGTCACTGCTTATAATAGTGTTAAGGTCCTCCAGTAACTCTCTGCACTAACTATTCTTGTCTCTTCAAAGAGGGCACATGAATAGTCTTCTTCACATTTCCCTGCTCCATCTTGAAAAGTAGCCATGCCTTTGCATCGAAGTGAGACAACCGTTCAACATGCAATGATACATGTACATGTAGATACCTGTGAATAATTGTCTGTAAGGCTCAACAGCATAGCTACCTTTCAAGATGGCACACCTAACCGTGAAGGAGACTATTGAAACACAGTTATAGCGATACTCAATGTGACGTAAGCCTTTGTTATTGATGGTTTTCAACCATTCCCATGAGAGTRADCAAAACAAAAAGGTCCACCAGTCACGGTGGTGGTTTTCTTTTGTCAGGTCCACCAGCAATGGCGGACATCTTTTGTTYAACTTTCYCTCCTGGGAATGGTTGAAAACCATCAATTCATGTGCCAATTCATACGTCATGTACTAATAATAAAAATGTTTACAACACTATCATGCAAACATTCCAAATAATTCAAGTATTTGTTTTACAGAACAAACCTTTATAATTCACTGATGTTTGCTTCCTAAAGCAATTGCTGATATAATTGAAATGATCGTATTTTAGGTTTGATGCCAGCAAATTAAAATCTTGGAACTAGCACGTCAACACAACAGCAGGTGTATCAATGCTTATTTTGTGGCTTTGACTCATAAAAATTTAGCTTCCATTTACAAATTATATCRCTGGAAACAAACCTCGACTACTTCCAGTTCTTCTTCTTCTTTTTCCTTCTTCTTGCGTTTATAATGCTGGGTATTTTTGCCCTTCTTCATCTTGGCCTTTCCTTGATTTGGTTTTCCARGRGCTTTCTTTTTTGCCATATTTTGAGCAGCCAGCAATGAAATAACGGCAAGTTCCGTTAAAATATAAAACTTYAATGAACTATTTTACTCCTCCTAGAATTTTTAAWCATTCGGCCGCATAGAATGAGAGATATTTCAATCCATATATATACAAAACAAGTTAGTATTTGTCCGCCATGTTGCTTTTCCCAGGCACATGGCCTTGTAAAAATATACGCGCGGTACTGGAACAGAGTTACTGTTGCGTTAYCTATTCACAAGTCACGCATATTTTTCTTCTTTTTATAATAGTCAATGAATTCCAGATGCACCAAAAGTTTTACAAAAGTTGATGGTTAGTGATAAATGCAATCTTTAATAATAGAGTCTCAAGCGTGTATTTTTTCGTAGTTTATGGAATTCACGAGCGTAACGGAGTCTTTTTCTTTGTGTGACACGAGGTCTTGATGTTCTATTGTAAATGCTTCATTTTCATTGGTTACTATAAAAAGAATAAAACCATGGCTACAACATTTTCGCGTGTCATAATACAATAGCGAACCAATCAGATCGTTAGAAGTAGGACATTAACCAATCACAATACAGTATTGTGTTGATGGGCATTTAGCGGGCTTCTTTGAAGCGGCGTTTGGTTGTTTTGAGCAGAAAAGACAAGATTGAACTTGTGAATTATTCTTGCTGAAGGTTGTCATTTCACAAATATCCATGATGCCAGCAACGCTACAAGTGACTCCTCCACCTGACGGCAGATTGTTGGATTCTGGACACATTCTATGGGCACCAAAGAAGAAGCAAAGCTTCCGAAAAAGAAATTTCATTCCAGCCCAGAACCGAGTACATTCGAAGTGCAGAAAACGCTTAGAGTTCAACCACGTAGCAGATTTCGTAGAG